GGTGGTGAGGGAAGGAGGTTATGGGGTCATCCTAAGTACTTCGAACAAAATTACTGGAAGGGAAATTATAGTTTCATAGCTGGATCCGTAGGTGCGACAGTGAGGATGGGTGAGGAGGAGATTTACGATGTCTTGACCTTGGGGTCACACTGTGCACATTATATAAACACCATAGCTGCAGTACTTGTATGCTGAAGTTTCTATGTATTTTTACGAATGAAGAATCAAAAGAGACACAGAACGTGAGGCACTCATACGGTATATTATTCGCATATATTATAGATATAACATGGGTGCATTATTCCGGATGGTCCGCTCCTCTAAATGGTTGTCGACCAGCACAGATACAGATGCTATACTTTACATTTGGATCTTTACAATATACCAACAACATGGCCCCATTATAGCTTTAGTGCACGCGCTATTATATACAAGCAACATAGGTGCATTACATGACAGAAATCGCGACAACTGATGTTTTCTCGGTTCTGTGGGTATATAGTTTGTATGTTATACACGTTCTATTGTGTCTGTATAAGATGCCGACAACTAACGGCAACATCGCCTTCGTATATGTACTGTGTACATTATATTTACAACATGGTTCCAGTATATATGTATTGGAAAATGTTGCATTGCTGCTGATAGGGTGTAGCGACAAGAGCTGAGAGGAATAGAACAGTCGATTTTGTTTATTTGATATTAGTGAAGAAGCATCATAGAAACTTCAGCATATATATATATACAGCATATATATATGCTGAAGTTTCCATGATGCCTAAAACAAAATGCACACGGCACCGCGACGCCAATCGTGTAAACTGTGCAGTAATTCGAGCAAGATTGATCCCTACAGCACCGAATGTGAACCTGGGCAGTAAAATCAAGAATCGAGTGGCATATCAAAAACAGGTGCATGCTGTGTCTAAAAGCCACATTTTTATGCGTCTTTGCATATTGGCGAACGCTGCGTGTATGTGTGTGTTCGCACTTTTTGTCACTCACTTTCAACTAGAAAACCACAAAAGCTAGAAGGCTGAAACTTCAGCAGCACGTGCCTACACTGTGTGCGACTTTCCCGTTTTAATATCATCACGCGCGTATGGCTGGATGCCGCTTGCGGACGCCTTAAAAAAATATCCAAATTCTTTGGCGGGAAGGCAACTCTGGGACCAGAAAAAACAGAGAGCTGAAACTTTGCAGAGATATCCTTTACGCGTGCGAGAGCTAGGGATTTCAAATCCAGTTCCTAGTTGTTCGTGGTTCTCACTTACGGACACGTGGAAGACTTAGCGGGAAAATTGCCCACTCGTTAACCAAAAAAGATGGAAGGCTAAAATTTTGAAGGAACGTCCCCCGTCCACGTACAATTTAAAGACCTCAAAACCAGTCCTCACGTACGCGTGGTGCTCACATACCGGCACGTGAAAATTGCGATGAGGGAATAGCTCAGGAACGCGAAAAGCTGAAGCTTAGGAGTAATGTCCCCCACTCATGTGCGACGAAAAGATTTCAAATTCAGCTTCTTAGAACCTCTCGAGACTCAGGTAGGGGTGCGTGGAAATTTTGG